CGCTCTGTGGCTTAGGCTCCACATTGGTAAAATGGGCACAGTCATTACCACGTAATGTTGTCATAAGAATTAATGACTCTGCAGAAAGAGCTTAGAACAGCCTGGCCCTTAGGAAGATTGCATTTTATTTTGTAATTGGAAAAATGTGTTTCTATTGCTTTTCTATCAAATTGTTTATTCCTCTTCTTTAATATTCTGTGAGAGTTATAAGGGTGACAAGAACCTTATCTGTCTCATTCATTGCCAGAACCTATTAGTTAGAGCTCATTAGATAATATTATAATAGTTTCAATACATGAAATATTTCAGTGAATGGATAGATAATAACACATGCAGTGTATGAAGCTAAAATGGCCCATTGGAGCCCACAGATCAGGCTCCCTTTGCTCCTTCTATACTCCATCTCCTGCTCTCTCCCACTCCCTGCATCAGCTGCAGGCACAGGGTCCTCCTCACTGTTCTTTAAACACATAGGAAGGTTTCTGCTTTAGGGCCTTTGCTGTGACTGTTATATTGTTCCCAACCTTCACTGAGTTTTCCACAGTTTTAACTTGTCTTCATTGGGCTTCTCTAGACTCAAGATATTTTTCTGTTTATTTATTTGTTTGTATACTTATTGTCTGTCTCCTGATTAAGATCCCACATGTGCAAGGCCTTGGTCTTGTTCTATTCTGTGTCTCCAATGCCAGGCACCAAATAAAACTTGAATGAGTAAATGTAAGTACTAGTGGCAAAGCTAAAGATGAATGACATAATGATTGGAAATGTAAGGAGAAATTGAGAAACGTATATCTAGAGTGAAAGTTAGAATTTTTTTAATTCCTCTCTCAGAACTTGGCAGATCTGTAGACAAATACAACAAGGACAAAAAGACTGAGTAACACCATGATATAAGGTTGGGAGTGTATGTACACACTCACTTGACTCTGACCCTACAAAAAAAAAATTCTTTTCCTGAGACCATGCTCAGTTACAAAGGTGATTTTATACTTAACCTCAAAGAAAGCATCAAAGAAATGAAAAGGTTGGGTATTACAGGCACAGTCTGCCCTCATATTGCATAAAATACTTTCATGTTGATACTGTAGTGCTGGCCCATCCAGTATGGCAGCCAGTCTCTTCCTGTGGCTGTTGTGCGTGTGAACTGTGGCTAGTCTCAGTTGAGATGTGCTGTTAGTGGAAGATACATACTGATTGTTCAAAACACAATAGGGGGAAATGGTTGTGAAATACCTTATATAAGTTTCTTTAAATATTGACTATTTGTTGAAATAGAACTATTTATAGTAAGTGTGTATTCAGTTAAATAAAAGATTGGGTTAACTCAAATTTGTGATTTAATGATTGTTTGAAAATTATAAAGTTATCAAAAATAAATCCAACCAGATCAGTATAGAGAACAGATTAATGGTTGCACTGGGTTGCACTGAGTTGTCAGTCGGGGTATCAAGTAAAGGATCTGGTTTGTGGTCCCTGATTTAAACAAACCTACCTGTGTGATAAAATTTCATAGATATATACACACACACACTTACACACCCACCCATGTAAATTTACCATGTAAGGGTTCAGTTGGGTCTCTCAAAAATCATATGTTGAAATCTTATCCACTGCCTTGGGATATTACCCCATTTAAAGAATGGATCCTTAAACAAAATAATCAACTTAAATTAAAGACATTAACTGTGGGCCCTCCTCCAATATTCCTGTTGTCCTTATTAACAGGGGAAATCTGGTCACAGAGATATGCATAGAGGGAAAAGGTACTAATTTTTTATTCCCAAAAACAATGTTAATGAGAAATAATGACTTGGGCCTATGGATTTGCTTCTCTGCAGTTAAAAGCATAAATTTCCACATGAAGATTTTGGGGATGCATTAAGGTTTTATTAGAGTCAATCTCTTGTGTTTCAGGAATTTGTTTTCTGTTTCTTTCATAATAATTATGTTTGTTAAACTATAAAATTTAGAGTTTATTTTAATCATATTTTCTGCCTCAAATTTAAGAATATGACTACTAACCTTATATGCCATAGAAAGTACTTTTAATGTATAAACACAGTATAAATACAGGTTCAGAATTCTCACAACAGAGTCAAACCCATAGGAACAAAGATTAGAGGAAAGATTAGCGTTGCCACAGGCAGAGGAGAGTGGAAATGGGAGTTGCTATTCAGCGATACAGATTTTGATTTATCAGAGATGAATAAGTCTCAGAGATCCACTGTACAACATTTTGCCCGTTAACACTATTGTATTGTACACTTAAAATTTCATTAAGCCTGGCCAGTGTTGCTTAGTAGTTGTGTCGACCTATGAACTAGGAGATCGTGGTTCAATTCCGGGTCAGAGCACGTGCCCAGGTTGCTGGCTCGATCCCCAATGTCGGCCTACGGGAGGGAGTCTCTCTTATCATGGATGTTTCTATCTTTTTCTTCCTGTCCCTTCCTCTCTGAAATCAATAAAAATATATATTAAAATATTGAGACGGTAGATCTCATGTGGTGTTCTTACATTAACAAGAGCAACGATTAAAATGTGTTTGGGGGTACAGTTAGAGAAAGTGAACATGAATGTGATACAAACAATCTCATGTCTTGACAGGCTTCTAGAGTATGCTCCTTTACTTCATTTGCAAATACAGCTGTGATGGAAACACTTTTCTACCCCTTGTCCCTTAGGGATTGAGGCTCCATTCACCTATGGACAGGGGATGAGGGAGATTGTCCTGTTATACGTGTCCCATGGGAGGGGTGTGGGCAAAGGGGACTGGGTGGCATTTTGGAAGGATTTTTTTTTTTTTTTTACTTTTTTACTTTATTTATTTATTTATTTATTTTTTATTGCTTAAAGTAATACAAAGGGTATTACATATGTGTCCATTTCCCCGCCCCTCCCCCCCCCCCAGACAGTCCCCTATCCTCCCCTATCCCCCAGTGTCTTATGTCCATTGGTTATGCTTATATGCATGCATACAAGTCCTTTGGTTGATCTCTTACCCCCCTACCTCCTGTCCCGCAACCCTCCCCGGCCTTCCCACTGCAGATTGACAGTCTGTTTGAGGCAGCTCTGCCTCTGTATCTATTATTGTTCAAAAGTTTCTAATGGACTCTATTATCCATGAATGAGTGAGATCATGTGGTATTTTTCCTTCATTGACTGGCTTATTTCACTTAGCATAATGCTCTCCAGTTCCATCCATGCCGTTGCAAATGGTAAGAGTTCCTTCCTTTTTAGAGCAGCATAGTATTCCATCGTGTAGATGTACCACAGTTTTCTAATCCATTCATCTACTGATGGGCACTTAGGCTGTTTCCAGATCTTAGCTATGGTGAATTGTGCTGCTATGAACATAGGGGTGTATATTTCTTTTCTGATTGGTGTTTCTGGTTTCTTGGGATATATTCCTAGAAGTGGGATCACAGGGTCAAATGGGAGCTCCATTTTCAGTTTTTTGAGGAAACTCCATACTGTCTTCCATAGTGGCTGCACCAGTCTGCATTCCCACCAGCAGTGCACAAGTGTTCCTTTTTCTCCACATCCTCTCCAGCACTTGTCGTTTGTTGATTTGTTGATGATAGCCAGTCTGACAGGTGTGAGATGGTACCTCATTGTTGTTTTGATTTGCATCTCTCGGATGATTAGTGACTTTGAGCATGTTTTCATATGTCTCTTGGCTTTCTGAATGTCCTCTTTTGAAAGGTGTCTATTTAGGTCCTTTGCCCATTTTTTGATTGGATTGTTTATCTTCCTTTTGTTAAGTTGTATGAGTTCCCTATACATTTTGGAGATTAGGCCCTTATCAGATATGACATTGGCAAATATGTTTTCCCACACAGTGGGTTTTCTCGTTGTTTTGTTGATGGTTTATTTTGCTGTGCAGAAGCTTTTTATTTTGATGTAGTCCCATTTGTTCATTTTCTCTTTAGTTGCAAGTGCCCTAGGAGCTGTATCAGTGAAGAAATTGCTTCAGCATATGTCTGAGATTTTGTTGCCTTTGGATTCTTCTAGAATTTTTATGGTTTCCCGTCGTACATTTAAGTCCTTTATTCATTTTGAGTTTATTTTTGTGTATGGTGTAAGTTGGTGGTCTAGTTTCATTTTCTTGCATATATCTGTCCAATTTTCCCAGCACCATTTATTGAAGAGACTATCTTGGCTCCATTGTATGTTCTTGCCCCCTTTGTCAAATATTAATTGAGCATATTGGTTCGGGCCGTGGAAGGATTTTGAGGGCAGGATTTTTGCAGAGCCCTGTTGCCACCAAGTTTTGTCTTCTCCCCTGTTGCATCTGCACAGTAGCTACAGGCCTGGCGAAACCCATTCCAGGACAACCCCATCTCTAGGGATCCACCCTGGGAGGCTGCCCTGTAGAAGTTCCTGCCCCAACCCCTCACACTACGCACAGGGCTTGGGTGTGTTAGGTCTAGTCTCTCTCGCCCAGTGCTACCTACAGCAGGTCACCTCCACCAGAGCACTAAGTAAAGATGCTATTTCATGGGCCTCACTGCAGCTCTACAGAATCATAACTTTTTAGAGTGAAACCTTGATCCCCACGGTTCTGTGTGCACGTTAAAGCTGCAGAAGAAATGCTTCGCTAGGTGGTCCCCTCCCATTCGACCACTTGACGAGTTGTAAGAAATAACACTGCCTGTGCCTCCCCCTCAGAGTTGAACAGCCGGTCTGGGTAGAACATCGTGGTCATTTTAGTGTGGTGCTCCAGGTGATTCAAAAGTGTGGCCAGGGTTTAGCAGAAGGGCTCCCTGCCCCAGTGCATTTGTGAGAGTTGACAATGGGCTTTGGTCCAGGGTCCTCTCTTGGGTTTGGGAGGAACAGAAGTGCAGCCCACTTTCTCATTGCTGGGTTGGAATTTGGGCGTGTCTGTTGGAGGGGAGAGCAAGAGAAGACAGGAGAGAAAAACAGTTTGATCTTCATGTAGCATCTCATTGTTTCTTAATCTCTCCTGTGTCAAAGGGCATGGGAGTGTGAGATTTTTCATCATTCAAGTCCTTCTGCCTGTGAGTGTGGTGGAAGCACGGCATATCTTCTCCAGATGCAGGTGTGATTGGTCAACATAAAGTCGCCTGAGAAAACAACCCAGAGCAGGAGGAGGAAGAGGACAGTATGGCTGCTTCTCAGGTAAGCGCTCTGTCTTGGCTCAGTTCTGTGTCTGCTTTTCCTTCCAAAGTTCATGTATTTAGATGGTGCAGACCTTTGTTTCTCTATTTCTGATGATCCTGCAACACGAAGTTGTTTTCACCTGCTTACTTTTTTTCTTTGTGATTCTATAAGTTCCCTCTTTAAACTGTGACTGTCGCTTGGGGTTATGGGTTCCCCAAGATAGAAATCAAGAGGAACCTCTAGAGATATATCTTGGGAAATTTTCTTAGGCTTATGCTCTTTCATAAGGGAGACAACACAGAAGAAAGGAAGGGCCCCTGAGCTGCTGAGGGGCTGGCGCTGCTTGGCGGCCCTGACAAGCTTGGGACACATAGGAGGGTGGTTTGAAAAAGGCCTGCTGGTGGAGATTTCCATTTCAGGGTGCAGTTACTTCCTTTTCCAATGGGGTTGTCTGGTTGTTAGCGCCTGCGCTGTGGGGGAGAGATGGCAGCGTAGTCACTAGAGCCACCTGAAGAAGGTCATGTAGCAGTCAAGCCTTCATCAACTGCTCATGTGGGTCAGCAGTTTCAACATCTGCAAGGAAGCAGGCCTTTAGGAGGCAGATAAAGTCAGCTACCTCTGCGTTTTTGTCCACAGCTTTCTGTCTATTGTGTCCATCCAGGTCCCCCATAGGAATCTCACCATAAGTTAATGACCATTGTGTGGGAAGAAGGTACTTTCTTCTACCTTCAAAGTTCTCTCAGCTGGCCTAATCAGAAAGGGGATATGTATGGGAGCTGCACACACATGACAGAGTCAGAGACCCCACATGCAAGAGAGGTTCAGAGACTGAAAGGGAAATTTAGCATCTAAGACATTCTGAGCCTGGGATGAGGTAATGCACCTTGGGACTTTAGAATATTGTTGCCAGGAAATCACATGTTCAGGAAATCCTAGGTTCCTTACCATCTAGGTAGTTCAAATGTCATTTTTGGTTTACCTTATATCACAGGTCACGCTCATCATTTAAATTCTTCTAGGTAGTTAAGGGGGAGAGCAGAAGTTTCTCTTGAACCCAAAGGGTCTTGATGCCTTCAGCTCAACATAATGCATGTACCATTGAAGCACATCTTAGGGTGCCTTGTTCTGAACCCCTATCTTCAACTTTTCAAAACATTTTCTTTGCCACAGTTCAACATGGGAAGGCATTGATATCCGAGTTCCTTATTGAGATGATGTTTGCAGAAGGGACATGCAGGTTTTACATTTCCTATGTCTGCAACATCTGCTGTGCAGAACAGGATTGAGACAAAGCACCTTTAACCAGGATGGCCTTAGTGGCCGGGATTAGATCAGAAAGTTCTGCAAAAGAAAACTCATTAGCAGTGACTTGCTCTCTACATTGGCATGGATGCTTTATTCTTTAAATGCTCTGTAAGATTTATACAGTATAGGAGGTATTTGTGGAATGAATTTTGTATAAAATTGGTATTAGTGATGATGTGTCCATCTGTCACTTGATGTGCCTTCCTTTGCACCTGATTTTCACTTGGTGCGGGTGTTCTCTGCCCATTTCCTGAAATATAAAGTTAATTTTTGTTTTTTTTTAAATATGGGTGTCAAAAGTTTTTTGAGAGTTGTGCATAAATGATCACATTTCTTCTGGAAACTTTCATTGCTTTTCAATTTTGCTTTATTTGTAGGTTGCTTTGTTGTTGTTCACTGGAGATACTTGCTTTGCCCCAGACCTGTAAATTTTTATTGTATTTCACCGACTTGTCACAGATACACTCTTCTTTATCACTGCTTTGTATTTTCAAAAATGTTTACAAGCATCATAGTAATGGATGTTCAAGTGTGTTAAATTTATAAAGTACAGATCAGCACTAAAGATAACTTTTATCAAATAAATAAAAGGCTAAGAAGTAATAACGCTAATATTTTTTATCATGGTGTGTTTACCTCCCTTTTGTGTTTATAAAATACAATCATTCACAAAGAGATTTGTGACATTGGCACATTGACATTAATGTTGATTTTATTTCAGGTAATTTTATTGACATGAACATTTTATTTTGTGTTGCATATAATGTGTACATAGTTTCCATTTTTATGTCTGCCTCTTTGCAAAAATGTTAACATTATTTGCCCTGTTCTTTCTTCGTACCTTCTTGTTTGTATTCTTTACAGTTACAACAGCTGTGTACATTCATGAGGGTTGTGTCTGTGTACTGCTCTGTGATCTTTTTGACAAATTCGAAGTAAAGTTTGGAATAACACCCAGGCTCTACCATTTTATGGATATCTTACAAAATATTTTCCTTAAAAAGGATGAATAGCCATGGCTCACTTGGTTGAGCATTGACCCATGCACTGAGAAATCACTGGTTCAATTCCCGGGTTAGGGCACATGCCCGGGTTCAGGGCTCAATCCTTGGTAGGGGGCATGCAGGAGTCTGCTCATTGATGTTTCTATCTCATCGACATTTCTGTTTCTTTGTCCTTCCCCCTTTCTCTCTCTCTAAAAATCAATAAAAACATTTTTAAAAAAATGAACAAGAATGTTATTGTTCTTTGAATACTTTTGAGATTTATTAATTAATATATAAATGTTAAAACAGCTGTGGTTGATGGGCTTACTAATCTATGAGACCTGTAAAGCCCATAAAATTGTTCAGTCAAAATCTTGTATATGAACTTTTTTCCTGTGTTTTCTTCTTCTGTGGTATCCAAAGGTATGGGACACGTACCAGCACATTGGCATCCATAGTTATAAGTGAGCTGGTTAAACATATGTAAATTTAGGCCCCACCCAGAACTCATTAATATTTTATTTATTTATTTTATTTTTTAGCAGGCTTAATTCACTTTATTTGTCTTGTATAAAATTATGTGTTTGCCACAGCTGGAGCCTGGGTCCTCTGCACAGAAACTCTGGTGGGGGTCTTTACAAGATGGCCAGTGAATTCCTGATAGGAAGACTTGGTGAACACAGTCTCTTTCTAGAGATCTGGGGTAAGATAGCTGTAGGTCTTAGAGATGGCATCAGAGGTGGCCTTGGCGAAGTTGCCCAGGGTGGCAGTGCAGCCCCTGGCCGAGGTATAGCAGTCGTTAATAGCAGCCATCATCAGCATCTTCTTAGGCACAGGGGCCAAGACAATGCCCGTACTCCTGGAGGCAGGGATGAGGCGCACCAGTAAAGAGTCACAGCGGCCAGTCACCTTGCAAGGAACGGTGTGGGTCTTGCCAATCTTGTTTCCCCTATAGCCTCACCGCACGGGCGCAATAGAGAGCTTGGCCAGGATAATGGCTCCACGGATGGCAGTGGCTACTTCCTTTGAGCACTTAACACACAGACCAAAATGTCCAATGGCGACAAATGCCTTGAACTGGGCCCTCTGGCCAGCACTTGTCTGCTTTTGCACAGGCATAATCTTCAAGACCTCATCCTTGAGGGATGCCCCCAAGAAAAAGTCTATGATCTCAGATTCCTTGATGGGCAAGGAGAATAGATAGCTTTCCTCTAGGGATTTGATCTTCATGCCCTTGACCAAGCGGCCAGCTTGGTGATAAGTGATCCACTACTTGCCCTCAGCCTTGCCTCCATGAGCTACGCGGTTTCAGCCACTGCCCTGATCCCGGCGGCCACCCCGGCCCCGGATGCCGAAGCCAAATCCTCCATGGAAACCCCAGAGACCTCCTATTCTGCCCTGGTGTCATCCGCCATTTGGTGTTTCCTTGGAAAAGAAGCTCATTAAAATTTTAAAAGTGCTACACTGTGCTCACTCAAAATGACTTCTCCAGCTAAGAAATATGTACAGTTGATCCTCTGTGATTCAAACATAGCACTCAAAAATGGATATGCCTGTGTTGATGCCTGTATTTTTAAAATTTATCTTTCAGAAAAGTAAAACTTCTACTGTGGTTTTGTGGATCATATGCCATCTTCCTTTCTAAAAATACATTAGAGAATATTAATGTCAAAGTGATGCTGTTGGATAACTCAGGATACTGTCCTAAGTCTAAACTGGTTCTATTAACTTTTCATTTTGGGTGACCTTATGACCTCTGCCCATGGTCAATTGATTAATGCTTTTCTTTTAATTTCCTTTTAATTTCAGGGGCAGTTGACCTTCAGTGATGTGGCCATAGAATTCTCTCAGGAGGAGTGGGCGTGCCTGGACCCAGCTCAGCGGAAACTGTACATGGACGTGATGTTGCAGAACTACAGGAACCTGGTATTCCTGGGTGAGGACCACGTCCTTCCAGAATTTCTCCTCCACCCGCAGGGTGTTGTTGTCTTCATTAGCACAGTGTCTGCTTGTAGCTTCTGCTTTTATAATAGAGTTTCAGATCCGTGTTATTAAGGAAAGAAATTGGGGTTTTGCTGGTGCAGAACAAAAAGGCTTCCTGATGTATTTGGAAGTGGAACTCAAGATTTGAAAACTTTAAATGTTGTCTCCAGTATAGTTAAAGGTTCTGTCAGAAAATAATATTTTGGAAAATAATTTTTTATGATATTCTGGTATTCTACAATGTCCTTTCTTCTTACTTGAGCACAGAGCTGATTGGAAATTGGAGATTCTCCATTGAACCCATGTTTCTTTTTTTTTTGTAAGTTTTTGGTTGTTGTTTTTAATATATTTTTATTTGATTTCAGAGAGGAAGAGAGAGGGAGAGAGAGGTAGAAATATCAGTGATAAGAGAGAATCATTGATTGGCTGCCTCTTGCACATCCCTTACTGGGGATTGAGCCTGCATCCCAGGCATGTGGCCTTGACCAAAATCAAACCAGGGACCCTTCAGTCCCCAGGATGACACTCTACCCAATGAGCCAAACTGGCTATGGCCCATGTTCCTTTTTCTAATAAACAGGTGTGTCTAAGCCAGACCTACTCACCTTTTTGGAGCACATGAAGGAGCCCTGGGAGTTGAAGGGAAAAAAGACAATACCCATCCAGCCAGGTAGGTGGAAATCAAGGAAATAGATGATCCAGGTGAGAGGCCGAAGATCGGGTATTATATAATGGTTTGGAAACATCTGCTTCAATGGGACTGATTTTCGAGAGGGTCACGATTATTTCTATTTCTGGCTTCGAGGGACAGATCCTCTCCATCATCATCTAAGGATTCTCTTTCTGCTTCCATCACATTTGCAGTGAGAGCCAAAGTCCTCCTGTAACAGTGTAAGGGTGGCATGACCTGGCTACTATTGGATTTCTTGGTGAACTTGGGGAAGTCTGTGCATGTTGCTGAGGAATTTTAAATTAAACTAGTTTTTAAAGTTCTGTTTTCTGCCTCTGAGTAATTTGGGAGGGAAGTGGTTGAGATACTGTAATTTGGTTCCCACATCCCAGGAACACTGTGGGTCAGTGTCCAAGTTGTCTTATCCTTCTTTTGCTTGATCAAGTCTTTCCTAATGTTTCTATTGTATATTTCATTCAGATACTAACTATATTCTTCAGTTCCCAATATCTGTTGGTTCTTTCTTATACTTCTGTCTGCTTGCATTTTTATTATTGTCATGCCTAATTGTGATGGCAATAGTTTTTTATGTTTTTTTCAATTGAGCCCTTTTAAAGGTTTTTTTTTCTTATCTTTGTCAGGTAATTAACATATGTTTATTAAATTAGGGCCAACTTATGGAGATTTATTTTGTCCCTCTGGTTGGATTGCTTTTCTGTTTCTTCATAAGCCTTGTGATCTTTTGTTGCGATCCCATTCTTTATAACTTGATTTATACAGGAAAACAAAAATAACTATCAGCTGTGGTAGGTTTTTAAAGGCCTGTCACACCTATTCTGGAAAGTGTAATTGGTGTGTGTGTGTGTGTGTGTGTGTGTGTGTGTGTGTGTAACTCATTAAAAAAATTTTTCAATTGTAGTTGCCAATATAATATTATATTAGTTTCAGGTGTACATCCCAATAATTAGACATTACATAGTTTCCGTGCTGGGGGCCACTTAGCGAGAGTTATGGGGGGTACACTGGGGCCAGATCCTGCTTGTTTAAGACATTGTTGTAAAGACTGAAGCATAAGACAATTTAGGCTGTTTGTATGGAATAGCCACTGGAAACAGCTTTGGTGGTCCCACATGTTGATGGGGTGAGGTGTCAGGAAATCTTCAGGGTGTGGTGAAAAAGTGTGAGACAAATTGATGGAGACTCAGCTGTGGCTCCTGTTTGCCAGCTATGTGGGTGAAAGGCTCAGAAAAGAAACAATGGCTTCTACCAAGACTTATGCCTGGGAGAAAGCTCCTTCTACAGCTCTCATCCTTCAGGTCCAACCTGTATGTCCCTGGTGCCATTCAAGCTGCTGCCACAGCACTGGAGCTCACAGGGCATGAATCTGAATAAGTCAGAGCGTGAGCCCTTTAAGAGGAATTGCCTAGGACTCCATCAGCTCTCCGTCTCACTCAACCACAATCCTTGCTAGTTTTTA